ATACTTAAGTTGTTAACCCTCCAGAAGACAAGCTTATTGTTATTACCATACAACCTAGGCTGTTAAGCTTAACCTCATTATCTGTCTGAATATCAAACATCTTAGGCATAACATGGAACAGGTATTTTTCATCAAGCATTGATATGTTGAACTTTAAGTCCCTACAGAATATGATGAAAAAACATTTAAAAATGTAATTGTTTTTTGACTGAGGTTTATTTTTTGTTTGAGGACTGAACCTAGAGTTTCCAGCTTGCTAGGCAAGCTTCTACTCTGAGCTAAATCCCCAGGCCCTGTGATTGATTTATGGTTCAATGCAGGGCTTTAGGGTGCTGGGATTAAGGCTGGGTGATTGTTGGATCAGTCCACAGACTGGATTGGCACCACCCTACTCACAGCAGCCTGGATAAAATAAAAGGGGGCAGAAAGAGGTTTGTTTTGCCCTCTTTGCTCTTCTTGCTTTTGTTGTCTTCCACCACCATGAACATGTTACCCCTCTGCCATGTGCCACTCTGCCTTGAAGCCTCCTGATTATGAGACTGAAATCTCTACAATTGTGAGCTAAATAAAGTTTTCCTCCTTTAATTTTGGGAATCAGGTATTTTTGACTCAATAACCAGAGAAAATTAATTAAGACATATTCTAATATGGCTAACCTCTACCACCCTATGAAACCACAAATTTCTATATTTTTATCCTAATATTTGAAAAAATATGCATACCTGTCCAAGAAGTTAACTATGTTGGGATTCTTTAATTCTTTCATCACCATAATCTCATTAATGATCAATTCCTTCTTTGGCTGTTTCTGTAAATTAATCTGTTTGATAGCAACCTATAATGGAAAGAGAATTTTAAGAAAATCAACAGTTCTCCTAGAAAGTTAGAAACAATAATCAGTGCATAACTTAATTTTTGGTGCATATACTGTATTACCCAACAAGACTGTAACATGTTCACAAGACATACCTTGACCTGCCAGTGCTTATGTGCAATGCTTTCGAATGTATGGTTCTAAAACATGTTCAGATTGATCTTTGGTGATTAACCCATTCAAGATCAATCTAGTATCAGGAATGAATCCTCTTTTCCTTCTAAGTAGGAGACAATTTTTAAAAATAATTTTAAGGGAAGGTGAGATAGTTCAGCAGACTAAGCTTCTGCTTAGGCAAGTGCAGGGACCAGGGTTAGATCCAGGGCTCCTTGAGTTGGCAGAGACCAGGCACAGTGGCGCAACGCCTGTAACCCCAGTGCCGGGGAGGCTGAAAATAAAAGAGGATCACTACAGGTCCAAGCTGCACAGTAAGACTCTGTACCAAATACATTAAAATAATAATAATCACATTATTATTTTATTTATGACATTAAACTCTACCTTTGTCCCCTCCCATTTTTTTTAGTACTAGTGATTGAACCCAGGATTTTCTTTTCTTTAAGTTTCTATTTTTTTTTAAATTTTATTGAGAAACAAATATCAATGAGACAGTTATAAAACTGATCAATAGGACAGTTTCAATACTTAATACACTGTACACTATTATCCTCTTAGTGGTTATCCATAGTACAAGATGCAGACAGAATATCCTGTCCCACACTATTAGTACAAATCTTTCTTCTCATTGAATTAGGCGAAAGTAGCTATACATCTATCCTAATTATTCTGCATATACAGACACAAAATGGTCCTTCCTTTGTATTGCCCTTTTTTGTTTAGTCCTGTCAGAAATGGGTATTCCCTTGGCATCTAAATACTTGTTGGAGGCCATTAACCGGTATCCATTCTATTCCCCTGCTGAGTCAAGTTTATGGCCCTTCTCACCTTGCCCATTCCCTGTGAATCACGTGCTATGCCCTAGAGGTTGCACCCTCCCCGTTGCCTAGATACCTGCTGACCCCCAAGAGCCAAGACTTCCTCATTCCATCACCCCCTAAATATACCCAGAACCTCCCCTAAATAAATGAGGCTTGATCAGAATCTTTGTCTTGCCTCCATTTCTCGCGTCTCCTGTCCTTTGTCCCCTCTTCAATTCCCCGCTCCTCCCCCAGGTGACCTTTGTTGACTGACCCGCTGGTTCGGGACAATACTATAGGTGTGTGAATTCAGCAAAACAATCCAACACAGTCTAGCAGTCCACAACAGTAGTGGGCTATCCACAGAAGTTGCTGACTTGAGCCTTTCACAGCTTAGCATATTAATATGGCTTTACTTTATATACCTCGTTTTTATACTTTTCAGCTGGATAGTTAAGACCAAGATAAAGCAAGACCTGTATAACAAGAAATGTAACTTTTGTATCTGATAAGGTCAGTCAAATACCCTCAGGATTTATCCTGTAACCCTGTACTACAGTCTGCAGATCCTTTATCAGTGTCAGCCATGTGGATGAGTCACGGCCATTGCTCGACCAATTTGTTCTCTGTGAAAGCCTGAGAGAATGTTTTCTCTCCAGGTGTGAACCCAGGATTTTCACGCTATTATATCCCCAGCTATATTTTGGTTTTTACTTTTTCGAGATGAAGTCTTTCTTGTAAAATGCTGTTTTAAAATTAAAAAGTAGCTAAATTGTTCAGGCTACCCTTGAAATTCTATCTTCCTGCTTCAGCTTCCACAGTCCTACGATTACTGGTGGCCTGTGCCACCATGCCCATATCTTTGTTTCTCTTAATGTGAGAACTGCCCAAAATTATATACCTTAATTCTTGCAACATATTCAACTTTTTAAACAACAGATTTCTATTAACCACTTAGTGCATTCTATAAGAAATGTTAATGTAATATCCAGAGCATTAAAAAGGTAGAGTTGTAGTTACCTCCTGTCCCAGTGCCACATCAGTAGCAGTGAATACTGTACCAGAAGCCCTGGGGGAAAGAAGGAACAAAACATACAATCAGACTTAAAGATTCTAAACCATTATCATTTAATCCAAAGACATTGTCATTATTATCCAAAGACTTTTACCATCTGAAGCCTGGCATGGTTTTACATGCCAATAATCCCAGCAATTGGGAAACTGAGGCAGGAGGATCCCAGTGAGTCTGAGGCCAGCCTAGTACATATATTGAGTTCAAGGTCAGCCTAAACCTCACAGAGATCTTGTTTCAAAACAAAGACTACTATTTGAGTAAGTGAAAAGGAATTAAAGACTCAGCACTTTTAAAAGAAAAGCAAAAATAAAAGGAGAAAAGAAAAGCAAGCAACCCTTGTGCCCAAAATAACAGTTCAATAAACATATGGGGGGGAAAAAGTACAAAGACAGACACAACATGCATTCACAAGTAACACTTCCCTGCTTAAGAAATAAAGAACTACAAATGAACTTGAAAGTCTTCTGCATGCCCCTCGCAGCCCATCCTTTTCTCCCTTGGGGGGGGGGGGGGCGCGGCACTGTATTTGGCCTGCATCCTAAAGTCAATGTTCACCACTTCCATGCATTTCCTTGCTTTTACCTACAAAGCTAAGTATCTTGATGGACTATATTTGGCCTAATTTTTATTTATTTATTTATTTATTT